TGACGTCACGAGAAATAAAAATCACGTGACCGGAAGTGACGTCATGAGAAATAAAAATCACGTGACCGGAAATGACGTCACGAAAACTAAAAATCACGTGACCGGAAGTGACGTCACCAGAAATAAAAATCACGTGACCGGAAGTGACGTCACGAGAGAGAAAAAATCACGTGACCGGAAGTGACGTCACGAGAACTAAAAATCACGTGACCGGAAGTGACGTCACGAGAACTAAAAATCACGTGACCGGAAGTGACGTAATAATAAAAGTCACGTGACCGGAAATGACGTCACAATTAATACATGACCGGAAGTAACATAAAAAAATTTATTTTCCTATTGTTCTCAGAGAGGAGTGTACAGCAGTAGGCGAATTAGAAGGAAAAATCGGTGCTGATGTCTACTGCATGGATCAGTGTCTCGTTTACCCCTCACACTGTCCATCACAACGTTGCCAATGTGTCTAGCATCACCAGTTGATTGATGAAAAAAAAAACCTGTAATTTTAATGGCAAATAAAACACAACAGTTTACATCTTACTTTGTAATTTTCTTTATTATGACATTCTAGTTTCCTTTTTCCTCTTTTTGACAGCTTACAATTATTTATGCACTTGTTTATACGTATACGTATATATTATATACAACCCATAGTCAACAAAAACGTATCGATTATTTTTTTTCATTTTTTTTTTCATAAGATTTAAGTTACGCGTTTCACAATTTAAAGGTTTTCCATCATTTACGGTTGTTTTTTTTTAAATCGTTCATTGAAGCGCCATTTTTCATGACTTGTTTTGCTCTTAAAATTCTATTTGTAACAGACAATGTGTCATACTCATTGCGGGCACTCGATACTGCTCTATAACATTTTTTAATTATTTTTATTAATTTTCCCCTTTGATTTTTCGTTTTTTTTTCTCTTGTATCTAAGATGACCCGGCAATACCACCGATCATTTCCATCGAAATGACGACTCTCCAAGGGTTTTCACATTTTTTTTGTTACTAATAACACTTTACAAAACTATATACACTAAAGCCCATTTTAACATTTTTTTTCCTCGAGTTTTCAAGTTTTGTTTTTTTTTCTCAACATTTCACAATCTTTTTGTGTAAATAACATTTATGCTGCAAATAATTCTCCTCACTTGATGATTCTTCATTCTCAATGATCATTTTGCGATGGAAATTTGTTACAACAGAATCAGATAATTTTTTTAATCTAGCAAAATGTTGGAATTTCTACTTTCATTAGAATTTCATTTCAATCATCAATTGTTCATTCCTTATAATTTAATCAAGGGCAATGGCAACTCATTAGGCACACATCAATCATCAGCAAGTATTTCACAATGAAAATGTTGAATCGAACTGAATAAATCGAACGAGTGTTTGAGTAATTGAAAAGAAGATTCAGTAATGAAGTAGAACTCTTTTAGATTCTTGAAAATATCTCGGAATCTACGAGAGATAGGGAAATTATTGTCAGGACCATTTTTGTGGAGAAATTCTCGCCCCGCAAAAAAGGTTCTATGAAAATTTTTCCCATCTCCTTTAGTTTTCGAGATATTCATGAAAAACTGATGACTGTTCTTGTTTTTTCCTTCAACTACTGAATTCTTCATTTCTCCAGTTCTTTTAAACAAATACAACTGCATTTTATTCGACACCTAGATGAACATTCTACCTCGAGTCGGTGATGGACGATATTTTTTTGTATTTTTTTCGAGTACAAAAATTTAATTAATAAAACGAGGAAAATATGGGAGCACAAGCGAGACGATAAACTAATTAAATTATTCATTGAATTCGTTATCCAGGGTTTTTTTACTTCATTATCCTAATCAGGATCATCTCTGGGGTAAATTGATGTACTTATATTACGATTGTTTTGTGGAGCAATCGACATAGGCCTAAATAATACTTTAATTATTTATTTTCCTCTCTCTCTCTCTATCTCTCTGGCTTTAGTTCTCAGGTACTTCTTAATCGAACTCGAATGTACTCCCCCAATTGAATCATAAATCTCTGGTTTTCATCGCTCTTCGAGAACTTGATGTAAACAAATGATTTTATGTCACTGAGAAAAAATATATCGAGTCTTGAAAATCACAATTGTTAGAAAAAAAAATAGTAGAATTGATTGAACGTCAGATGAATTGTTGAACAGTTGTCTTCGCTTGTTACTTTTCTCTTTGTGATATTTTTGGTTGTTGTTTAATGAGGGGTAAGTACCAAGCAATGTCCCTCCATCGATTATCGTATTTTCTCAAGACAAAAGAAATCTTTTTCCCTTTGAAATTCAGAGTTTCGTTGATTTGGATTTTAAAAAATTACATTTTTGGGAATTTCCTTCCAAAACCACTAGCTCTTGAGATAATATCATAATTAATAAATCGACAAATTCCACTTGACTGGGATTCATAACTGAAATTCATGGATTTAATAAATACCAAGAGTCATTCGTTGAGATGTCTGAATACAACTAATTACTCATTCTATTAACGGTCATTTGAGTCACTGGTTTCATTTGATTTTAATGTCATTGGGCTCATTATGTTCGTTGGAACATTCTCTATTGAGTTACCGTGCGGCTTTCCCATTTATTAATTTGTAGTTTTATTTTAATAGTTGCATTTTCACATGGCAATACCAATCAACTTTCAAACAAACAGTCATAATTATTCATTAGTGTATTTATCCAAACAAAATCGTCCGGCGAGTTGATGGAAAATGTCCCAACGAACATATTGAGTCCAGGTGCATTGAAATCGTGTGAAATGTCTGACTTGAAAAAAACTAGACTGAATTGTCAGTAATATTCACCAATAGTAGATTTAATCGATCATTTTTAATTATGTCGCAATCCCAAAAATGTCATCATATTCAACAAAATTCTCCAATCAATGGATCAATCTCACCTCTTCCCAAATCTTCAATATAAATTACAAAAAATGTCTCTTGACATTTTCCCCCAAAACCCCTCGTTCTTGTGATAATCTCATAATTAACAAATCGAAAAATTTCACTTGACTGGGATTCCTAAATTTCACCGATTAAAAAAACCCCAAAAATGTAATTTTTCGAGGATCAATTTCCTCCCCGCAACAATCCCCCTGCCATATCCTCAACATCACTCGCTCAATGTTCTTTTTGCATTAAAAATCTAGATCTAAACCTACAAATTGTCACCGCTAGTGCGTAATATCAAGTGCTACCCACCAACTGACCATTATTCTCCTCTTACTCATTAAATTTAATTTTCTCATCTCCATTAAAATTAGTTTATCTCGGGTTGCAGTGGTGTTGCACAACGGCAAATATATATTATCCATCTCTCTGTATCCATCATTACCCCTATATTATCATTAATTAATTAATTAATTAATTAATAGTTAATGGTAATGTTCCTAAGATTAAAATCACTCTAGACTTAGATTGAGCTGACGATTATTAAGAGTCTGCTTTTTACGTTAATTTCTCTTCTGTTGAGTGCCTGGGGAGGGATTCTCAGTCACTATCGAGTGTCAATCATCAATCACCCCCTCTCCTCCATCCTCTTAATTAATTAATCACTCGAGATCATAAATCATTCAACAAAATTCTCATCAGAAATGTTTTCCTCGCATTTTTCTTCAATTTCTCTCGAATTAATCCGCAAAAATAAATTGTTACAAGTCTTTCCGATGTTTTTATAATTATTTAAACAATTGTAATAATTAATTAGATGATTAATCAATAAATTGAGTGAATTTTATAAACGGAGAACTGATTTTCTCATTTTATTTTGCAATTTTTCACCTTTTTCATTTGAAATTTTTTTCAAGCATTTAATTGTCGTGTTTTTTTCTTCATTTTTTGTTGATTCATGATTAATTGTCCTTTTGTGATTGAGTACTTCAGACTCCGGGGCAGTGGCAGTCTCTGAAGCCTCTGATCACAACTAACTAATGATTTTCTTCATTAATATTGAAGTGAATCAATTTTTTTTTCATTTTCTTTTTTTTCTGTGTAATTTATTGAATTTATTAATTACAAACATTCAATAAACAGTCTACCTGACCTCTCTCTAATCGACTAACAATGATTAATCATTTTTTTAGGTTTATCAACATTTTTTGAATCACACAAACTCGATAGACACTGACTCCACTGTAATCTACTATCACAAAAGCCTTCAATCGATGTATAAACTACAACGGCATGTCCTAAATTCAATCCAGGGCCTCAACTGATTAATTAATCCCTCAATTAAATCAACTATCTCAATTTTCAATTGAAAACACTCCCCAACTAAATTAGTTGATCCCAGAAAACAATTTTTTAATGCGAAAAAAGCAACTTTTCAATTCTCTAATTTTTTAAATCGAAAATAATCATGAAAATTAATTATTTATTAATTAGTTTGTGAATCATTGAAGATGGGAGCCCAAGGGGGAGGTCACGGGCTCATTAATGACAGTCCGCCTTGAGCCAAATCCTCTGTAAAAAATCTAAAAACAATTTATTGATTCCACAAACTTTGCAAAAATTCCCTGGACGACTCGTTAATCTACTCGACTAATTTATCTAAATTACCAAGCGTTTCACATGACTAATTATTAATCACTAATTGAGGATCAACATTACGAATAGTCTAAACACGCTCTAAATTATTTTTTATTTATTCAATTAACGTCGATATACGTATTTAATCATCGAGTGGATATTTCTCGATTCAACACGGATAAATATTTTTTTTTCGTTATATTAATTACTTTTTTATGTTTAATTGATGATTTATTGAGTGTTCAATTGATTTTCAACCGAAAAACGTGAATTATTTCTCCAATTTTCGTTTTATTTCGTATCAAACATCATTATTTTTTTTTAAATTATGTAAAATTAGTTTTTTTAAAGAAAATTAATTAAATTAATTGTTCAATCTGCTTAATTAATCAACGAATTAATTAGACAATTGAAGAAATGGCGGATTGATCGACTTTTTTGAAAACATTTCGAGAGTTATTCGACGAATTTTCTGTTTTATCTTCATTACTTAGTGAATACAATTAGTTTTTGTACCTGTTTTGGTGTTTGTGAATAATTTCCAAGACGTTGCGGGGGTTATTGAACCGCTGACACTCGAGATTGATTGAGAAAACCGTGGGTAATACCGCCAGACACCTCCAAATGCAGCAAAAATTTATACAATTACTCCTCTTCACGACGAAATTCTCATTTTCATATTTTCAGGTCTAAAAATGTTCATCTGCCTCAAGCACCTCTACAAATATCCTAGGGTCGCATAGGTCTTTACATAGGGTGCATCCACTCTACAATTTTCCCTGAAAAGAAAAAAAATTTTTTTTTTAATTCAATTTTTAAAAATGCCAAAATTAATAATTACATCAATCTCAATTAATCTTCAAATAATCCCAAGAACTAATAGATGTCGAGTTTTCATTCCTTCGATTTAAGCTCATGAAATTATCGCATTCCCCAGACAATTCCCCAATTACCCAGACGACTCGCAAAATTGAAGAATTGATAATAGAGATTATTGCATTAATTACGAGAGATAATCAGTGACTGTGAAAGTCTCTAATGAACTTACTCATCTTCCCATGGGCAAACTTCATTAACATTATTGTCACGTTCCCCCGGCACTTGCTCGCCCCCCTTCTTCGGTCCCTCAGGATCATTTTCATTATCCTCGGGGACCCAGACAGGTACAACTTGTGCTTCTTCTCCAGAATCAGTCTCTCTCCCCTCGCAATGTTCATCACTTTTTTCATTCGACTTTTCCTCAACTTCTGGTATTTCCTCAATTGTCACAGGAATGCTGTCATCATCGAGCTCCCCAGATTCACCAGCAATATCACCTACTATTGTTGAGATACTTATGAGTGGCGCTATCCCTGGGGCTCTCGATTCCTTCGAGTCATCGAGCTCTGAAGCACTCTCCTCTGTACTCCAATTCTCAGACTCTTCTGGGACACTTTTGGCGACATCTAGTTGATGAAGCTGGTGAGGAAAAACATTTATTTCAATTTTTAAAAATTATCTACAGATTTATCTGGAAAAATTATCCCAAATTCTGAGACTATCTAGATAATTTTTGGCCATGAGATGAATCATGAAATTTTGTTAATGAAAAAAAAATCACGTCTTTCACATTCTCATCTCCTGATTCAACTATCTGAGATGAATAATTATCTCACATCGCTATCTAAGATGAATCTCCCCATCTAGATATAAATTTATCTCTCATATGCATCTAAAACAGATATTTTTTGTCTTCCAGGATGTTTTCCCAGAATAAATATTCATCTCAGATAAAATCACGGCCGTATCTAGATGATAGATTAACTAAAGCCATTATCTGAGATAAAATGATAAAATGGAAAAAAGTAAAAAAAATGAGGAAAAAAGTAAAAAAAAATAAAAACTCGACTAACCTGAAGAACCGGATGCCCCTGTCCCCCGAGATGCCCCCCAGACAGATCAAAGCTATGTTGTGGTGACGGAAAATTGCACGAAGACACCGAAGATCTGCTGGTATCCGCCAATTTGACCCTGAGCACTGGTCCAACCGAGTAATTTCTCGTTAAATTTGGCCCGGCTATGGTGGTCGAGTGCTGGAGGCCACAAGTTTTTCTCAATCGTTCAGACGCCTCAGCAATGGCTATACTAACATCTGAAGAAGAACTGCACGAGTCAAATTGCGAGGAATTCTTTCGTGATGCTCTTGACCCAGTGTCCGGTGGTAATGGCATACCAGACCAGTTGGAGGGCTCAGTCGAGCCTGACGAGGTGCCGGCGATTGCGTCTGGCTCGTTGCTCGGACCTGGCGCTGCGTCCCAGGGGCACACGTCGTCCATAGGGCGAACCACTGATGTCTCGGTGGCACCAGCATCCCTGGCAACACGAACTTCATTATGTCATTTTATTTATTTTTTTTATTATTCTTCATTTCTAGAGGTGATTGAGGGATTCCAGGAGATGTCGGGGGTTTTTGGGGAATATCTCGGTGGGGGTGGGTTCTGGGGGGAAATGTTATAAGACCTTTTTTGTGGGGGGTTAAATTTCCCACAAAAATGGTCTTATGGGTTATTTTTGTAGAACCAATGCGTGAGGAGATAATTGCATATTTATTAATATGAAGATGTTAATTTCAGGACTTCTCATTTTATTCATTTACTTTGTTAATTTTGTTGGTGTGTTGGGGGCGGGGTAGTCGGAGGGGGAGGGGTAATTACGTCGAGGAGTGGAGGCACATCAATTATCAGAATACATTGAGATAATTATGGTAAAAAATAGAATACAACAAGAATTCTATATGTGATTTGAGGAGTTTTGTATGCAGAAGTTTCAGGGGTGAGTTCCTGGAGGGGTGAGGGGTCAAAAATGACCCCATTGGATAGATTCAAAGAATATGCATTGAATTGAAGATGAAAATTGTTCGATCTATCCAATGAGGATGAATTCAACCCTCTTTGTCGATTTTTAAAGAAATTATTTACAGAAAAACAATTAAATTGACACGAATAATTTTTGTTTAAAAATTGAAAATAAATCACATAAATTTTTTTTTTCATCAATAAAAAAGGATAATTATAATGAACATTCATGCACAGAGAGCCCCGTATGACATTCAGACTATCACAATAATCTCAAAAAATACATGAATTGCACAACAACGTTTGGATAATTTTGTGGGCACAGATATCAACAATTTTTTTGAAAAAAAATAATTTCCAATTTTCTTGGTCTTCTCATTGTCATTGAGGACTTACTGAACACTACGTGGACTAGGCCTGGAAATGTTCTTAGTGAGACGCTCCAGGTCTCCCCTGAAAATACCGGAATTCAACATTTTTCACTGCAGAAAGAAGAGAAAAAAGTTCTTTTTTTTTTTTTGTTGTCCACTAAAAAATTTTAGCGTTTATGTGATGCGTGTCGAATGTCACGGAAATGTCACACGTTTATTTATCGATAAATAGTTTGTAATTATTACACTGTACCTGTAGGGAATATCCGTTAGATTCTGTTGGCTGAGGGAATGTGGCACTCTGGGGGCAGTAGTCACGTCACGTATACCACAGACAGCTAATTCATGGGCTGATCCTGATAGACTTCGATCACTGCCCCTTCTTCTACCACCACTCGTTGAACCACCCATACTTGCTTGCTGCAAACCACCCATACCACCTGAGGCTGTGGTTTTTTTCTTCGTTTGTCCCCCGAAATTGAAAAATCTGTGCAAAAGATTTTTTGAAAAATTATCTAGAACTGGAAAAATATGTAGATGATTTTTTTTAATCAAATAAATGGAAAAAATTTTAAATTTGAGAAGGAACACGCGTTTTTTTTTATTTTCCAAGATATGTATTTAAGATAAATATTCATCTCAGAAGTATATTCAAATTATCTAGAACTGCATAAATATGTAGATGATTTTTTCTCATCAAATGAATGGAAAATTTTTTTAATTGAGGGAAGAACGTACATTTTGTTCTATCATTTACCAAGATATGTATCTAAGATAAATATTCGTTTTAGATGATCATCTAGATCGCCGAGATGTTAATCTCCCATGAGTCTCATCGGTCTTTAGACGTCGTGAATTATATTTGTGGGATATTATAAATTAGCTGTCTGACGATGCCATCTGTTATCTAGATATATATTTATCTGGAATATTAATCCAGTTTTAGATACAGAAATTAATTATTTTTTTTACCATGAGATGTGGGACCTTTTATTACTGCATACATCATTCGAATTTTCTCCAGATAAATATATAAAATATCTAGATTAAAATTCACCTGAGATAATGGTCTCAGATAAATAGATGAGTTGAAAAAAACGATTGAGGAATTTTTTGTATCTCAAAATAACAAGATAAATTGACTCATCTTTTTTTCATCTCCAGATAAATCTGATCCATCAAAATCTACATACCTTTTCTTCTGCAGTGGTTGTACCCCAGCAGCCAGTAGATTTCTGTAATGATCAGACCTTATGAATCTAGGATAGCAGTCCTTTTTAAGTAGAAGTGTGTAAACATGTTCAGCAGCAGCATCGAATGTGAATCTGCTAGGATTTTTCATCTCCTGATGGACTCTCTCCATTGTTTTTCCATCAATGTTTATTTCGCACGGTGCTCCAGGTGCCAAAAATTCCCTGCAAATCAAAATAGCCACATCAGCATGATTATCTAATCATCTAAAAGATAATGCCTCGCACCATCAATTTCATGGGAAAGCGTAATAGCGAAATAAAATTAAAAAAAAAAATACTTACCGAAAAATTTCATTGACTTTATCTCCAATGTGCGCCTGATTGCAGTGTCTCAGATCCTTGACAGCAAGCCAGAATCTGATATTCTCATGGCTGTACTCCTTCCTAAGATAATTAGTGAACTCTAGCAATCCCGTGGGGTCAAACATCAGCTCCTCCATGGATAGCCCCCACCTCTTGACCCGCTTTTCCGTAGGTACATCGACAAGAGGACTATTCAGTTGCCAGAATGACTGATCATCCGTCATCCAGGGATTTGACGGCTGGGGTGGCACTATCATCGGATCGTACTCCGTGTACGTTTCGTAATGAGTTTTTAAATTTTCAATGGCTACGGATACCTTTGTTCGTGTGCGAGTCAAACTGTTTCTCAATAGTTCAACCTTGAAAGAAAATTTTATTGACGACAATTCATTGATGAGGTCGAGTGACAAAAAATGACCAACAATTTTTTTTTTTTTGTCAATTTTTTATTGGCGGAAATTACCTCGCGCTGCAAATCATTGAGCGTTCGCTTCCTGACGGGGAGTTTTGCACCAGGTCTAGCTCTTGTTGGCACTGGAACGACCTCGAGACTGCTTGGGCATCCTGGGGGTGGCCTGTAGACACGCCAGAACGCACGCTCTTGCGAATCACTCACTATTTTATCACCCTTTTTACGCTCCTTGGAGAGACGCACCTGCTCCTCCGCCTGCATCTGTATCAACTCCCATTTGTTGGCTAGATTTTTTCTCAGGCTGTTCAGTGATTCCTGAAATTTTTATTTACAACGTCGAGGCGTCAGCTTGAGCATTTTTTTATATTATTTTTGGGGGAAATAACGGGATAAAATGGGGTGGCCATTTGTTCAAGTTTGCGTTCATTTGAAGTGATTTTTTTATTTTTATTATCCAGAAAATTATCTGGAGAAAAATTGATTATTTTTTCATTTTCGTTAAAAATTAGCTAAAAAATTATCTGGCAAATTATCTGCAGCTTCAGGAGTAGATTATTTTCGGGGAGATTATTTGGGCGGAAATAATTGATTTTCTATTTTTGGACAATCATCTAGAAAAATTATCTGGGACATTGGATTTTGGGTGTAGATAATTTTTGTGAAAATTATCTAAATTTTCAGAGATATCTAGACACCTGGAAATCAGAAGAAATTTTTTTTTTGTCTTCAATTTGTGAATCAACTTGAAGGAACTCACAATCTCGTATTCCTCAAGCGCGTGACGTTGTTTGTTCCTCAGAGTGCGTTTTGCTAGGTATATCGCGTACTCGACATTGTCAGGTGTTCGATGCTGCCAAGGCCAATAATACGGTGTCTAAAAAAATATTGAGCCAATTTAATCAATATTTTTTTTAGAAAAAAAAATTCATTACGAAATTTATTAATCAATGATGATGAATAATTAACGATATTAGTTCATAATTCAATTAATTATCAATTACCTACCTGAAATCTATAGAGGGAACTGTCATCCTTAACAGTGAGAGTTTTGGAATCATTCACTGGGAAGAAATAACCATATTGGCACAGCTGATTGGCTAGATGGACCGCCTCTGTCATAACAAAAACCAATTTTGTCATAAAAAAAAATAATTTTTCATTTTTGTAAATTAGTGGAGAACGGGTGAATTGACAATTACCGGTTTCATCGATCGAGAGTCGGTCTATCAGCCACTCTATGAGATCGTAGCCTGCGGAAAAATCAGAAATTGTTTTTTTTTCATCTCGCTCCATTAAAAACATAATTTCAATTAATTTTTATGATCTTACCCATGAATGCCGAAGGTATTGACGTGAGAAATTGTTTCTGGCTGCCAACGGGCACACCGTTCTCCGCGTCTTGCATCTTCCGCACCAGCCCCTCCATCTATTAAAAAAAAAAATTGTGAAGATTTTTTTTTTTTAATAAGCTGTTCTCATTAAATTTTTTTCGATAATTTACCTTATCGAAGGCGCAAGGTCTGTGTACACGTGGTACCTTCTCCTTACGTTGTTGAGTACTACCTGCCTCCATCGCGTACGAGGTGGCCCACCTCTTCGCTTGCACGATCGGTGACGATTACGATGGCGGAGGGGGCTGGGGAGCTGGGCCGGAGACGGGCCTACCCGAACTCCATGGGGCTCTGGCCCCATCCCATCACTCCAGTCACCCCCGCACGCCCACTGTAACATTACACCGATGAAAATCGGCATCAATTACCAAAATCCTCTGCAACCCTCCGCAACGCGTTTTGCGGGAAAAAAAATCATTCGATTCAAATTTTTCAGGCAAACGACAGCCGCCGGTCATTGGCGATGATTCCTTGTACCAATTGGGGAGATTTCCATCAAATTGCGGAAAAAAAAACACCCGTTTTGCCTCAGAAATTTTGAAAACAACTTGACGCAGGACTTGACCGCACCTCCAAAATTCCACGTTTTGTACATGCGACTGCACAACATCTACTGGGGCAAAACGGGCTCCTTTTTGGGAGTAATCGTAAATTTTCCTGGCTTTCGAATGAGCGGTGAGTCAGGTTTCTGTCACCATGCGTTCAGAAGATATCGACGATTAAAGTCGAAAAACCTCCGCGGCCCATTCTGCGGAAAAAAATCACGCCATTTCGATTCTCTTCCCAAACAATGATCCCAAAAACATAATAATAAATTCTCGCCGTACACCTGAGTCCCCCTGGCCTTTACAATCTCCGGTGGACCAACAAGAAAATACGAGACACAAAAAAAAATTTTTTTTTAAATAGAAAAAACGAAAACGCCCACAGGGTGTCATCTTCCGTAGTGTCATAAATGTAAGAATATATTAAAACTAATAAAGACAGAGACAAAATTAAAACAAGACGACTCATGCATTTTTATACCACCAACGAGGTCTCACTAATGATAACTGTGGAGTATAAAAAATTGTGTGGGTGAGGTAACGGTGTACCATAACCCCCTCGAGGCGCAAATTGTTGACAGAGGAAAAGTAAAAAAAAAATGTCCTCCAGACTTTTTTCCTCTCCCTCTTTCTCCATCATCGTATTTTACTTGGAAAACGGTATTGTCGAGTATTTACCGAAAAATTTAATAAAGTGGTGTTTGCCAAGATGGAGTAGAAAAATAGAAAAAAAAATTCCAGGGAATAAATGCCGGAAATATCCCAAGAAAGTAATGTCGCAAAAAATAATCTTAAAAAATTTCTCAAAAATGGGAACGAAAATTTGAGCTTCATTAAAAAAAATTCAATCTATCGAATGGGGTCATTGCGCACCCCAGGCATCCATTACTTCATAATCTCAAAGGATGCATTACTTTGAAAAAAAAAAAATTATGAAACTCGCGAACAGTGCGGAAATCAAAAATAAGAGTCAATACGTAGGTGGAACAAAGATATCCGGTGGTATTGATGAGTATCCGGCAATTCCAACTGGAGTAATTAAGCGCGTCAGCAACCGGATCGCTAGACAAACGTCAGCTGAGCTGCAATGGGCAGAGCATAACCACCTCCTCCCACCCATTCCATCAACTCCCTTTTCTAGAGGGGGAAAAAAGTGGAGTGAGCATGACGGAGTGGGTGTATACTACTGGAGAAATTTTTTTCCCATCTGCAAAAACCTATATATCACCGATGCAATAAATTTCTGCAATTTAAATTCACTAGAGAAGCTATGAATTGAATTTAGAAATATTCATGCATATTCAGGGATCGTGAGATACCAGTGGACGATGAAGACGATTACTGGCGTTCGATGAATCGCGACATGTCCGCTGGAGTGGAAAAAAGACGACCCATTGTGCCCCAGTGCTTGCCGCACAATTGGCGGATGTAAATTTTTCGGGGCAAAACGGGTCGTCTTGTTTTTTTGATTGATGCGGAATGTGCCGATGCGTCGAGTGGGGTGATTATCGACCCCATTATCAGACAAGGCGAAGACACCCGTAGAAAGGCCTACTGCACTCGCCGTAAGGACGCCATTTTCCTATTCAACAATGCACTCTTAAAATCCGAGGTATGGAGTAGAAAGAAATCAGACACATTCACTATTCACCATTTAACTTTTAAAAACTTCTTCCCGCATCCGTCTCATCTTCCTCTTCAACTCGGAGGAAAAATCGGTAACAACTTTTTCACCGGAATAAAATCTCCATTTGAATTTTTTTTTTACTCCGCAAGGAGAACAGAATCTTTACCTCCGGTAACAAAAGAATTCGCAGAAATGTGATTCGTATACTGAGAGAGTTTTCTATTTTAGGTGGATTACGGAAATAAAAGAAGTGGAGTCAACTTTAGATTATTCCGCTGCATCTTTCAATAGTTTTTGCATTATCTACGCGCAGTTTTTTTCCCGCACGAGAGAAATCTTTTTGTCATGTTTGAGTAATGAGAAATAAAGGTTTCATCCATTTTTAAATTATTCCGCTGCATCTTTGTACGATTTCGTTCATGCGGAATTTTTTTCCGCGGGGAAATTTTTTTTACGTACATTAGGAGGGTAAAAAAATTTCCGCGAAAGGGTAATTTTTTCCTCATTGAACCTAGAAATTCATTTCCTCCGCAGCTCATGATGAGATGAAAATCCTCCGCGCGGAGACAAGAATTCCGCGCGGAAAAATATCTCTCCGCACACTGGAATACCGGACAAGGATGAAGTGCCGCAAGATCGAAATAAATCTTTCAACATCTTCCGCAATTCCCTCAGCGCGTAAGAGAAATACCGCGCGCAGGTAATTCTTTTATTTTGGAATTCAGGTTAGGTTCGCTAAGTGCATTGGCTTAAGCCCGATTTTAGAGCTTTACAGTACATGTGATGGAGTTAAATCCAGCGACTCTAGTATAAGGTTGACCCACTGGATATTGCATTACATCCATTACGTATTCATCGGACAGATATCCTCGTGGTATAGTCGATCAACGCCCAGTGGCTCTTAAGACAGTATATAGTAAACTACATACCGGAGCGTTCTGGGAATTTCTGCAGATGGAATATACATCCAATACCCAACTGTCATCCTCATTCCCGCGGTGATATCTACTTCAAGAAAGCTCTAGAGTGGGTGGAGAGATGAGAAATAAAAATATGGAGAAAGTAGAAATATTTCATTTCTCTGGATTTTCTAGAGGTGACGNGGGGGGGGGGGGGGGGGGGGGGGATTGAGGGTAGTTTTATTGAATCGCTAGGGAAATTTTCCATCATATCTAAAAAAAGACGACCCCTTTATTACCGATAATTTCATGAATAGCCTGGCGCAAGTATTGACCGCAACTCTCAAATCCAAATGTTAAATTGACTGTATCCCGGCAATAACAGAAACAAAAACGATTGTTGTTTTTTTTGTCTTTAATTTGTGGGTAAATATACTTGGCTTTTCGATGAAAGTCACTCCCATCAGCTATCTCCCCTGAGGAATCTCAAACATAGGTGGGGTATGATAAAAAGAACAAAGGAACCGGAAGTCGTTCATTTCTCAGAGTTTCCTAGGGTGAAAAAAAGGGGATGTGGGCTGATATTGAGTTGATCGGATATCCGAGGAAATTTCCGATGGAATCTAAAAAACATTAATCCGTTTTACCGCAGTCGTTTCAGAAACGCCTGGGCGCGAGTATTGACCGCACCTCTCAAATCCAAATGTTGAGTTGACTCTATCTCGAGAACGACAAGAGCAAAAATCATTGTCTTTTTTTTTAATTGTCGGTAAATTTTCCCCGCCCTCTAATGCCACAACTTTAAACTCTCCACTCCCGGTAATTGCCGAGATATTGACTAGCCGAGTAAATGAAGAAATATACGAAAAGTCGGATCACGTCTTTACGACTCCATTTCCGTTGGAAATAAATCAGCTGAAAGAAAATGAATGTTTTTATTTTCGTCAAGTCGATAGTTACGTTCTTGCAACACACACACACATATACAGGAAATTCTATTTTATCTGAGTGGGTGGGGCAAAAGTCAAAGAGGTAGACTGGGTGTTTTGCCGGAAGCATCGAAATCAGTACCAAGGTCCCCCCCTTCGGATTATATCGTACGAGGCCAAATGCGTACAAAACGTGACGACCGACTGAACTTTTCACGATTTTAACCTACCATTCTCAACGCCACTCTCATCGTTACGTGCCAACAAATTTTTCACGTATGACGGCATACGATTCACTCTCCAGAGTTTTCATAAATTGCGGAAAACTAATTTAAAAAAAATAAACGAAAAAGTTTTGAGGTTAGAATTTTTTACTGCAGCTGTTCTCGAGTGAAAATGTAATTTTAACCTCAAACTTTTTTCCTTGGGAGGTTAAATATTCATTTTGGCATTGGGGAGGGCTTTTCGTAGTCGTGGAGTTGATGAAAGTTGAGTATAAGTAAAACTTAAAACTTCTTGAACGATATTGATAGGATTTACATCGGCCTAGAGCTGTGTTTATTCATTGGGTTGATGAACTCTCGACTTGGCGCACTATCAATGTGTACATTGTATCGCCATTGACATCGACGGTGGCGCCTTTGAGTGGAGGAGAATCTGTTTGACACTTCAGCGAAAAAAAAAATTGTCGTGATTTTTCCGCTATTTTATTTATCGGAAAAAATTTTCACCTCCTTTTTTCCGCAATTTCAATTTTCCGAAAATTTTTTTTCGATAGTTGAAGAGTGATGGATTGCAGGGATTATTCAAATGTGAGATTATATCTCATCTTAAATGAAGGACGAGGGGCGCAAAACGATCCTATTACCCTGACCCCCCGGGTAAATCCCCCTAATCAGATATCTCAAAAATCGTCAATTTCCTAATGCCGGATTCGCCCCCCCCCCATCCTTCCACCCACCCCTAAATGGATCTCAAGCTCACCCCATCTTATAGCTGGGGAAATTTCCACTTCCAAACACAGCTTGACGACCCCTCAATCTTCGATATTGCCTACGGAAAATGTAAAAACAAATTTTTTCCCCGATAATCTCATTCACTATTTCTCATTTTTCCGAGAGGTTATTTACAAACATGGACTTGTCTGTTGTCTCTTGTATTCTTCGAAATAAATATTTTCCTCGTTTACTGCTCAATCTCAGCTGTCAGCTCCGGGAAAATCATAACCACTTCTCTCGGAAAATCTCTATTTTTCATTTTTCTCGTTCATATAAATGGCAATATTTCCCACATTCTTCAGCAAAAATTTTCCGTTCCTTGTACTACGATAAATGGAACTTTCGGAAAATTGAAAGTCAATTTTCCCGGAGTCTCAATTTTCAGATTTTCCAAGAAAATAATTTTCCGAGGGGGACTTGCCTGTTGTTATCTATGTCCAACAGCATTTACTTCTTAATTTTTTCATCAGCAACTCATTTTCTATGCGGAAAAATAAAAGGAACTTTTCCCGGAAAATCTTTTTTTCTTTTTCGGACAACGCACAAGAATGCAATGTCCCCTGTACTTGTTACCAAAAATATTTCTTTTCCTGAACTGTAAATATAGCTCTCGGAAAATTCGAAACAAATTTTCCCGGAAAATTTCAATTTTCCATTTTCGAAAAAACAATTTCCCAAGAACAAACCGGCCTCTCATTGCGTACTTTCAACAAAAATAACCCCATTTTTCCATCAGTAACTCATCTCCTCAGACAAAAGTCCAAACAATCCGGAAAAACGGTAAAATCAGATGAAAACCGAAAAAGCTTTGTTGCACAAGTGTTGTCTCCCCCAAA